AAAAAAACCTGTCTTTCAAGGTTCTTTATTGTCATTCGCATCGTATGTGGTACATGAGGTGGAACGAAATTGTGTACACTGGGTCCCAGTTACATTCAACAACAGCAAAAATATAAAGTGTAAAAATAAACAATAAATAAGGATCTAAGATGTAAACTAAGATGTACGCTAAACGATCGCCCAATGGTACGCTAAAAGATCTAAGATATACACTACTCACTAAAAGTGCAAAACAATTCACCGAACAACAGCAGCACGAGTCTCATAGGTTCTGTTCGGCTATAATTTACACACTTAATGCGAGCGGAGTCGAGCTCGGAGCCCCAAAACTAAAATAAACTGGGATTTATTCAAAGCATGCAACAAAAATACAGAAACAAGGCGCCAAAAGTGAAACAGAAAAAAATCTACAGCAGCACGGTCCTATTGGCAGAGTGGTTCTGATGACAGTGAGGTTCTCTTAGCAACATGGTCCAGTTAGCAGCATGATACTGTTAGCAGTGAGGTTTCTCCAACTGAGCTGGGAAATATCCCAAAAAGTTTATATTTAAAAGATTCAGGTCTGCATGTCATAGTTTTATGGTATCTGCTATTTTCTTTTCTTTTTTTTAAGTGAGCTTGTTTTCTGTATTCATGCTTTGTATATTTGAGTGTTTTTTTTTTTCCCAGTTCTGTTGGGTTCTTGTGTTTCATGGCCTCCTGAATCCTTCGTCATCGCGCCTCCTGGTGTAAATATTCTCCTTTATTGTTAAATCTGATTTTTCTTTTGGTTCCCGCTTCTCTTCTTGTTCTCACAATTCGACTTTTGATTCCCATCATACCTCTTGCTCACACACAGTGGTTGAATTGGCCAATAGATAGAGGCAATAATGTCTAGGCACCAGCATGGTGGAAGTGGCATGGTGGCCTGGGCTGCTTTCACAACTGCCAAGTTGAACTGAAAACCCTCAAACGTCCGGTATGCTCTGAAACAAACCTGGATGGAAGTTCGTACCAGGAAGCAGACTTCAGGAAGGCTCAGTTCGTTAGTAAATTCAAATTCAAAAATACTTTATTAATCCCAAAGAGAAATTAAATGTTGTAACTCTCGTTTCATTAAGAGATGTTATAGATGCTGATGACTGTAGGCAGGAAGGATCTCTTGTAAAGGTCTGTCCCACAGCAGATCCGAAGAAACTGAACACAGATGCCATCTGATCCGTCCACCCAGACTCGACTGGCCTCTCGGTTTCCCCGGGCTGCAGCACCGCCTGAATGCCAGGCGGAACTCCTCCCAGAGCGATGGCCACTCCTCCCAACAACCTGCTGAGCTCCTCGTCACTGCAGTCAGCTGTCTGTAGGTGTTGGGGGACGATCCCAGCCCTTCTGCTGTCTCGAGCCATGCTTCCTGCCAGTTCCAGGATCTTGGTGGTAAGGCATTCGAGCACCGCCAGCAGGGAGCCGGGATGCATCCACGGCGCCTCCTTTTCAACTCATTTGAGATTTGGGACTGTAGTTGAGATATTATTTGAGCTTTTGAAATGTTAATCAGCAGCTCCCGGTTGTAAAAAAAAATAATAAAAAATCTTGTTGTCATGGTTACGCACCATAACAAATGTCCAAAAGTAAAGAAGTTTCAGAAAAAATCCTTCCAGCTGCACAACATCCGATACCAGCGGAAACAATCATCATAAAAAAAAAAAGGCACTTTACGTCCAGAAAAAGAGAAATTAAAGTTTCCAAAAGCAAAATATCAGAATGAAAGTAGCAGAGCTACTCCAACATGCAGCTACCCCGAATTATAGAATAATTAAAAAAAAAGTAAAGTAAAGTTGTCAAAGATGACAGAAAAACGACCTGGCTCCTTACAATCACATGACAGATTCTGAGAACTCGTGCCAAATGCAAACGTGACACCGACAGTCAGAAAATACGTTACACGGATATTAATTACTACTTCAGTGAAATGTGATCAGGAATCCACAAACGGAAGATTCAAGTGAATATATTTATGAACCGTGTTTTGTTTGCATTTGAAACTTGCCTCAAAAATTGAACATAAAACAAAGTATATTTTAATTTTAAGGTCCACGGGTAAGTAAATTCTACGAGAAACATCCCTCACGCCGCCTTTCGTACCACAGAAATGATGGATTTAGTCAAATGACGGCCATCTTGAATTGGGTTGACCCTCAAATTAATCAGTTGAAGACACATTTCTAAAGATTAGCTAATTAGACGGTGTAAATGAAACATTCTGTTCACAAAGAGTTTTATTTTGGGCATCTTCTGAGCTGACATGAACCTTTTAATATCTGATTCCTCAAATACATACGAAAGAAAAATGAAGGAAACTTCTTGCCGAGCTGAAACAGCTTCCTGAGCAGACAGGTGCTGTAATCTAGTAGTAGCAGGCAGTTGGGCTGCTGCTGCTGAGGATGATGATGGGAGTAACATGAGATGGACAAACTCGGACTCCCCTCCTGCTCCTGGAAACCACGAGCTCAGTTGCTGCTAACGCTTCAAGTTCATGTTCAGGAACAGTCGGCTCTCCCCACACCAGGAAAAAGAACATCTGTTGAAGAAGTCATCTCTCATGTTAACCAGAGTTTTTGTTGCTTATAACATTAGTTTTTAGGATTATTTATTTTTTCAGCTTCTTGAAGTGATCAGTGAAATAAGAAGGTGAAGATGAGAGGAAAGCTGTCAAACATTTTTCAATGTTTTTCACTTGAAATGTGTTTGCCTGAAACATTAATCCTAAAATCACGTTAATGCCTTTAAAAGCTTTAAAAATCTGTCTGGCGTTGTTGTTTTTGAAAAGTGACCTGACTTATTGGCTTGATCTCTTTATAGTTGCACAAGGGGAACTCTGACATTTAGGATTGCATTTCCTATAAATAGATGTCCTCAAGCAGTCCATTCAGGACGAACACACAGCAGATGTGCTACAAAAGACGTATTTTTAGACGTGTCTATCTGAGCACTCACGATTCGGCTTCATTTTGTGAAGGTTGAGGTTTTCAAAGAAATCTTACCATTCATCTTGAGATTTTTATTAATATGAAGTCTATATAGATAACAGAAGACACAACGAGAGCAGAATAAGTAGTGCGGTGCTACCACGGCAAAGCATTTGTTCTTTGGAGCTGCAGTTAACAAAATAAAAGTGTTTTATATTGTCATCCAAAGAAGCTGTATGACTGAGAGATGGAGAAGCAGAGCTCGTTAAAGAAAAGAAGCACTTGGCTGTTTTCTAAATGAGTTAAATCAAGAGTTCAGAGGGAACACGCGCAGGTGTGTAAGTTAGATGCAGCCAAAATAAATGTTCAAATTCACTAATCTGATCTCAATGTTGTCATTTTCACAAAAAAACATGCATGATGTGATGAGATGTTTCATCCTTCATCCAAAGGACTTCTTCAATCTGAGGCGCAACAAACTGAGTCCCACAAGCTCCATCTTATCACCAGCAAACTGGTTTTTTTTCCCCACTATGGGAGTGTGGTGCTTGTTTGTTTGTGGCTGCTCGGACTCAAGAAGTCCTTTGGATGAAGGACGAAACGTCTCAACAAAAAACGAAACCGTCCAGATGACCTGACTGAACTTTGTTGGATAAAGAGATGTGATTTAAAAACAAAGTTAGGAGGGGGAGGGTAAGAACATTGGGATAATCATTAGACATTTTGTTTATAATGTAATTTAAAAAAAAAAGTAAAAAATAATTATTGCTGTCATCATCCTCAGAATCAGAATTCAAACATCTTTCTTATTGTGACAAGTACAACAATATTAGGTGTTGTACTTTCAGTGTCAAAAGACACATAAAAGGATAAAATAAAATAGAGTAAAATATATACAATAAAATATTACAAGAGATAAAAAAAAACAGTCATTCAACATGAATATTGCACATGATTTCATTCCGTACAACTGCTGTTTTTCAGTCTGTTTTCCGTTGCTATAACGCTCCCATATCCCGTGCCGGATGATGATGGTTGGAACAGGACGTGACCCGGGTGTGAGGAGTCTTTTTAAATGTCTGTGGCTTTCCTGAGGCAGCGGGAGCAGATCAAGACAGGGTAAGGAGCATCCAGTGAGTCCAGGACAGTCTTAACCATCCCTTGAGAAAATTGCTTTTCATCATATAGAAACCACACCTGGACCAATTTGAGGGAGATGGTCGCTCATCTTGAGTCTGGTTCTGGTTCTGCTGCAGGTTTATTCCTGTTCAAAGAGAGTCTTTCCTTCCCGCTCTTAACATGCTGCTCAAGATGGGAGATGGAGAAGTGAAGATTTGACTCCATTTTGGACTTCCTTATAGACAACTCTTACTAATTGGTTTTTCATATTCTGCATGTGAACATCTACATTGGGGTGGCTGTGGCTGAGTGGTTAGAGCAGTCGTCCTCCAATGCAAGAGTTGGTGGTTTGATTACACCAGCAGTCACATGCTGATGTGTCCCTGGGCAAGACACTGAACCCCTCATTGCCTCCGATGTGTGTCCCATCAGTGTATGAACGTGATAAAGCTCTGATTAGTCTTCGTAGAGATCGAGTCGAGTGCTGCACGAATGGGTAAATGAGGCACAGATTTTAGCGTAAAGAGCTTTAAGTGTCTTGATAAGATAGAAAGGTGCTATAGAAGCCCAGTCCATTTACCATTATAATATAATATTTAAAATTTGGACTGTTTCATCGTTTCTCTCGTGCCCTGATATTACTTTAGTTGTGAGTCAGCGTAATATGAATAATCTGAATTGAAATACTACGATCAAAGCAGCTTCTACTGAATGTTGCTCCAACTTGTGTGGGTGTTGGGTTATTATATAACAGTCTGTTACACCTACCCATCAAAACATTGTGCCTGTCAGTGAGCCCTGAGCGCACATAGACAACTTAAAATAGATTTGGACGGTCCCCATTACATTTCATGTGGGCACAGCATGTTCTGGGTCCACGTGAGGCTGAGGCATCTTAATATTGCTCACACCAAGCAGTGGCTCCCACACTTCCCCACCACAGTGGTCCAGTACCTGACCAGGGTGTACCAGTCCTCAGGAGGTGTTTCACTGGGACATAACCACCATGCCAAAAGTCCTGCTGCCAGGTGAGTTTTGGCAGAGAGACTCTGGGCTTTAAGGATTTTGATATTAATTTAAAAAATAAGGTTTTTTTTACAGGTTTATAAAGCCTTACTAAAACAAATATGTTCAAAAGTGTATGTACTTTTTGGTTGTTTTGGATTTTATGGATTATTCTGGCCAACAGGTTAAATATAATCCATTCAGAAATTTAAATATTAATGTATCAAAGGGAAAAGCATGTGCCATCATTACAGATATCACATTTTTGGTAATATTTCCAAATTATTTATTTATTGCAACGTCAGGAATGACACTTTATTGGCAGGTTCTCGAGGTTTTTGAATGCGTGACGCTCCGCTTGCATAAAACAAATCTTTAATTTGTGATTTATGTACAAATCTGATGACAGTTTTTGAATTTTTGTCTGTTCAGTCCTCCCGTTCCAGCAGTAAAATGCCACTTTTGGTCTTTAGGCTCGTGGGGGGGTGATGTAATAAAACCTTAATGCTGTATTCATTTCTGCCAGAGCAGAATTTAGAAACTGATTAAGTATCATCGGTAAAAATGCCAGGCCAGGATGTGTGATGGATGCGACTTGGCAGTTTGCATCTCTAATAATAAGTGTGACTTAAGGGAGGAGTTTATACATTTTTTTTTCTTTGCAACATATGTAACATAAAATAGTTTATTCTAAACTTAATTACTACAATTAAGGTTCATCCTTAAACAGGGAGCAGAATAGAAATGTAAAGTTCAATCAACAGTGATGTGTTTGCATTGTAATCATTTTTCAGTAACTAGAGGATAACAAGACGATTTTACATCTGGCTGGAGCAGCTGACGACAAACGTGTTGAAAGTTAAACTGATCGAACTCAAACGAGTGTAAACTGAATAAAGCGCTTCAGTTTTGCAAAAGCACAAATGAGAGAGGGTTACAAATATATATATATTTCATTTTAAAGCAACCTCGTTATAAAAACACATGTAAATTAAAGTTATTGTCATTAAAAACACAATGAAATGTAAAAAAGGAGACAATTTATTAATAATACATTTACATTGTTGGTTTCTTGTTAATTTCTTTTAATTCATTCTAGGAATGCATGTCACCCGCCATCTTTTAATGCCAGAATTTCATACAGAGATCAACATGTTATGTGGAGAAATGACTAAAAATGCAGCAATTTTGCTCAAACCTCAAAAATAACATTATTAATAATTAATCTTGTGTAACATTCTAAGATGTGCTCAAAGTATGGTTATTAATGACTATCAGCTACTACCATGTTAAATTTGAGCTCAACAACTGCAAAACTGATTGAGTTAAGGCAATTGTGTTTACAAAATACGTGATGATCCCCAGCATGGATTCGGTTAACGCTCGGATGTACCTTTACAACTGAGTCTAATTCAAGATGGCTGCCTCAGCAAATCACGCTGGACTCTAACGTTAACGCCAAAGTTTTGAGCAAAGTTCTTAGTAGCACGTTTAGTTTGTCTTGTTTCATTTTCAGCTGCTATCACTTCACATTTTAGCACATTTTCTGTAAAATCGACAAACTTCTAGCTGCTTTAGTGTTTTATAAGTAGCACTTGGTTGTGGCAGCCATTTTAATTGGGTTGACTCAAAATGCCCCGGGAGCATCCTTACAGATGCCCGAACCACCTCAACTGGCTCCTCTCGATGTGGAGGAGTTCTACTTTGAGTCTCTCCTGGATAACTGAACTTCTCACCCTAACTCTAAGGGAGAGTCCAGCCCTGCAGAAGAAACTCATTTCAACCGCCTGTATCCATGATCTCATTCTTTCAGACACTACCCAGAGCTCATGACCATAGGTGAGGGTAGGAACATAGACCGACCGGTGGAGAAAGAGCTTTGCCTTACAGCTCAGCTCTCTCTTCACCACAACGGACCGGCACAGAGTCCACAATACTGCAGACGCTGCACCAATCCGTCAGTCTCATGCTCCGTTCTTCCTTCACTCGTGAACAAAACCCCGAGATACTTGAACTCCTCCACTTGAACCAGAACCTCGCCCTCGACCCGAAGAGAACAATCCACCCTTTCCCGACTGAGGACCATGGCGTCAGATTTGGAGGTGCTGATTCTCATCCCAGCTGTTTCACACTCAGCTGCAAACCGCTCCAGTGCGAGCTGGAGATCCCAGCACAATGACGCCAGCAGGACCACATCATCCGCAAATAGCAGAGAAGGAATCCAGAGGACACCGAACCGGACTCCCTCTACCCCCTGGCTGCATCGAGAAATTATGTCCATAAAAGTTATAAACAGAATGGTTGACAAGGGGCAGCCCTAAAATCCATGCAGCAGTTCATGATATAATTTCATAACAGATTGAAAAGTTGATTTCAAATAGTTTTCCCTCCACGCTAGTTATTGTGTACTTCAGTTAGTTTAAAAGTGAAAGCAGAATTCATAAATTATTCAAAAGTTGTATATGATCCCATCATGTGCACAACTCATATAATAATGGAAACCACAGATTCTGTGTCATAACATCTTGGGACATCGTCATGCTACATGTACAACTAACAATAGAACATTTTCTAACCTTCTTTTTGTGATTTTTATCCTGGGTGGTTCGTCTTTCCTGGTGCTTCTGATCAGATCAACAGAGTGAGTATGGAGGATGAGAAGTGGTACGAAGTTTTAAACTCCATGCTGGATTACTCGTGTAAAAACAGACTGCGTTGCTCTGAAGCAGGTGCATGGAACAAGTTTGATGCAGGAAGAAGTTATCTACACTGCTGCATTTTCAGAAAAGTTCAAGACAAAAACAACTGGACTTTGTTTGTAGTGTGTATTTGACTCACCCCTATTGTGAGCGGTGATAGGGCGATCTGCATGTATTCAGCTTAGCTCAGCTTTATAACTCGAACCCCACACTCTCTGCTCTTTGAATTGAGAGAGCTCCTCGGATGAGAAGTGAAACGTCTTCTGTTACAAATAAAGTCCAGTTGTTTTTCTCTTGAACCTTTTTGAATTTACCATGTCTTGGATGACTGAGAATCTTCACCAGCGTCTACACTGCTGTCTTCATAACTCCTGTCATTTTGGACACTGACCCTCTTTTGTTACGTCTCTTCTCGATCAGTATCCCTCATTTTGATCCTCGTGTTTGGGCTGATGCCAACTGAAAAGCCATAAATGGGTTTGGAGTTATGTAAAAAAAAAAATAAAAAAAAAAGCTGCATGTGTAGAGATGAGCTCTGTGCTGGTGCTTCTGTCTGTGATGGACTTTGTGTTTGCAAGTCAGAGTTGCAGTTTTGTACTGGGTCAATATTTGTTCCTGTATTTGGTGCATGTATTGGACTCAGTACATGCAGAACTTCACGCCCAGTTCCGTTTGGGCTGTTACCTCCATGCCGAGTGGATCGGCTGTTAAGGAATCCAGGATGCGGCTCATCCAGTGAAGTTCGGAGCTGCATGGTGTGATGGACGATGCTTCCCTGAGAGTGAAATTAACAAACCCTTGGCGTACTCGACAGAGACCGATGACAAGATAAGGGCCTTGGCGGAGAAGGTCTTTGCATCGGAGACCAAAGATGAAAACATCCGTGATGAAATCTCCATGTTCGATGTGGCTGAGGATTGTCCAATCCTGCACCACGAGATGGCCCACCATCTGCACACTGATGACGACGCAGAGAAACGGTGAGAGATGACAGTGATGTCACTGTAGGCTTTTGAAGATTAAAGATTGAGAATACATGAATCCCCAGAAAGAACAGTAAGGTATAAACAACGTTTAAACCTCCTCTGATCAACAGAAAAAGGCTTCAGCGTTGTCGCACTGTGTGCTCTCCTGCTGCTGGTGCCCAGGCATCTGCTGGTCGTGTGGTGTCTGCTGCAGTGGACTCACCCACTTACCTGGAAGTTCCCGATTTTCAGAGAGTGGCCATCCTCGGTGACTACGCTTCTGGGGTAAAGTTTGTCAACCCTTATGATTCAGAATGGAGAGCTCAACTGCTTTTTGATCCTTCAGAAACTTCTGACGCAACCATTAAGCCACTGCAGCAGTCCCTCGTTTATCGCGGGGGAACTGTACTCTGAAGCCCCGCAATAAGTGAAAAACCGCAAAGTAGAAATAGTAGTACAAGTAGTAAGTAGTGTATTTACTTTATATATATATAAAGGTGTTTTAAATCCTTCCCACACTTGCAATATTCTAAAACTAAACAATGTTTTTAAACTCTAAATGCTCTAAAAAAGCACAGCATGTCATGATTTTAGCTCCCTGCCTCCTGCTGCACTCAGCCACCTGCAAGCCGTGGCCACGCCCACTTCTATGCTCTGCATGGCGAACAGCTGATCAGCTGCAGCAGGAAGTTTATCCTGCAGTGTGGGCTGCACAAAGGCACAGGAGGTGCTAAATAATATTAAATAATTTATTTTAAATAAAAAATTATACGCCAATCGTGCAGCGCATCCATCCGTCAGCCAATCGTGTGTCATGTCCAATCTTGTTTTGAAAAACCGCGATAGAGCGAGCCCACGAATAAACGAACCGCGAAGTAGCGAGGGACTACGTGTATGGTTGTAGGATGTAGACCCAAATGCAGGCACATAGGAGTCAGGTTCAGGACAGTTTTTCAACTAAACTTAAGTAAAGAGAAACTGTCAAATGGACACAGCAGCAAGATACATGAATGACGAAGACCAAGAAGTACAGTAGAGATGTGGGAGGGAAACAAACAAACAAGTGAGCTAATTTGGGAGACAGGTCGTGAAAGAGGAGCAGAAACCAGACAACTGAGGACACTGAGGGTCCTTGACCACACAGAATAACCCAAAGAATCTCATCTAACACAGTGAAACTTAAGGACTTCAAAACAGGATTAATTCAGAACTTTTCAATTAAAACTAAGACTCTAGAGCAGTTAAAAAATCAAAGGCACACTCCGATGTAAACTCTTTCAAATCGCACCATTTAATAAAGTTCAGAATGGTGAAACGTTTCAGCACACACAAAAAAAGAAACTGTCCAGATGACCAGACAGAAAATTGTTGGAAAGTTCAGGATATCCTTTTTTATGCTTGATTCCACACTCTGCAATGAGCACTTTCAAAAGTTCTGACCTCCGAAGGTTCAAATTTCTTGTACATCATTTTTCACGCTCTCCCCAGGTGACCATGGATGACTTCGAGCTGGCCTGTAAGGGTCTGTACCGCGCCCTGACCATCAGGGAGAAGTACATGAGACTGGCCTACCAGCGTTTCCCACGAACAGCCTCCCAGTTCCTGCGTCAAATGGAGGGAGAGACCTTCAAAATCGAAGATCAGGTGCAGCCAGGTGAGACGAAAAGCAAGACGGAGGTCAAACACAAACGAACAAAGTCAGCTTTGAAACAAGATCTCTAGTATTTTAATGATGCATTTACTTGTAATTCTCAAATCCTTAGTTTTCACTCCTCCTCCGAAGGCTGGGGAGGACCCCTTTGACACTTCCAGCCTGCCTAAGGATCTGGGCTACGTGGCCCGTATGAAGGATGGTCTCATGTTTGTGTACAACGACGCTGCAGCTGCTGACAAACATCAGCCCAAAGACCTGCCCCATCCAGACTACAACACCTTCATCGACGACATGAACTTCCTCATCGCCCTCATTGCACAGGGTCCAACGTGAGTCACCTTTTAAAAAAAAAAACACGTCAAGAAACTGACCACAGAGGTCGGATCAGAGGCTGGATCAGCTGAGTCATAATTTACCATTTAGTTTTTTTAGTCCTTTAATTTGTTCTCTAAACCATCTTAGTGGCGTTAAAACTCAACCCATGCCCCCTAATTTAATTTTAAAAAAGTTCCATATGGGACTTTAAGTTAAAAACAATGAGATGTAAAAACATTTGTAGCATCATGACAATGTATAAAACAATATTATAAGTTAGTGTTAATGCAGCTAATGACAGCAGTGTCATTAGGCCATTTAAAAGCATCATTACAATATAATTTACTACATAAAAGTACATTTTTGTTTAAAAAAATACATAGCCTGTATAAAAAAACGTATACCATACATTAACAAAAAAGGTTGAATCATGTCATCTGGACTTCGTTTTTTGTTAAAAAAGAAACGTTTCGCCCCTCATCCAAGAGGCTTCATCAGTCTGAGGCCTAGCCATCTGGTATTACCCAGAAGCCACCCTGAATGGTAATGTATACCATACATTATTATAAGACATTACAAAAAAAAAACCAATGAGTAAAAGTTATTTATTTTAGGAAGTCGGCAGATTGCACCAAATCTTCAGTTTGTTACAATCCCCCACCCAAACAGCCCGTTGATGACAGTGGGAAGAAATGACTCCATTTTAACAGGAAGTAACCTCCAGCAGAACCAGGCTCAGAATGGGTGGACACCCACTCCCCTCAGGAAGGAGGTTGAGGAGCATTAAGTGTAGAACCACTAGACTGAGGAACAGCTTCTACCCTGAGGCTGTTAGACTCATGATTCTCTAACCAGAATTATCACAACAACAAAAAAATCACTGTAATGCAACTTTGACTGGTGATACATATGTGCTGCTGATTAGCCATGCTGCTGATTATTTCATGCTGCTGTATTCATTCATTCGTACTCATCTACTCACAAAGGCTCATGTTCGTGCTGCTGTTGTTCGGTGTATTGTTTTGCAAGACTGGCTCATCTTAGATCTTTTAGCATTCTGTTTATACTTAGTGTATATTGTAGATCCTTATTTACAGTTTCTTTTTACACTTTATATTTTTGCTATTGTTGGATGTAACTGGAACCCTGTGTACACAGTTTCGTTCCACCTCGTGTGCCACATGTGATGCGAATGACAATAAAGAACCTTGAACATCTGCCTCGACAAGCTGAAGTTTGAGAGGAAAGAGACACAGACAAACACAAAAGAATGGGTCCAGGTGTATTTTCTCTGGGAAGAAAAACAAAGAAAAATACAGGCTCGTGACAGGAAAGTACAAACAGGGAGAGTACAGAGAGCAAAAATGGTAGTTTGTCTACAGCAATTTAAGCTTATAGCAGCAGAACTTAAGGATAGCGTGGGAAACCCAAACCAACTCAATGTGATTTAAACTGTTACTGTAGGCGTTTCATGTTTGTCGCCTCAGAATGTATCACGAAGCTCCTCCTTGTCCCGCAGTAAGACGTACGCACATCGTCGTCTGAAGTTCCTCATGTCCAAGTTTAACGTGCACGAGATGCTGAACGAGATGGAGGAGCTAAAGGAGCTGAAGATGAACCCCCACAGGGACTTTTACAACTGCAGGAAGGTGGGCAAAAGCGGCATATTATACACATTTTTATTTTATTTTATTTATTTATTGAAAACTGGACAACAAAGGCAATATATATATATATATATATATATATATATATATATATATATATATAAAAAACTTTAATTACTGCTATTTTATTTGTGGAAATATGGTAAACATATACCATACACACAGTTGCAACAAAGCTTTAAACACATAAAAACAACTGATCTGTAACTAATCTTAAAATCATATTTACTTTATAAACCAGACATATTTTTTATTCTAAAAATGCTCCTAAATCAATTACTTTCAGTTGTTTTTGTCATGCTGCTCATTCTACTGTGGCTCCCTCTGGTGGCCACTGTTGGTTATTACATCAACCTGAATCGTAATTTCTTTGACATTTCAGGTGGACACTCACATCCATGCTGCTGCCTGCATGAACCAGAAGCATCTGCTGCGCTTCATCAAGAGGTCTTACCGTGTGGATGCTGACCGGGTTGTGCACAACCTTAAAGGGAAGGAAGTCACCATGAGAGAGCTGTTCGAGTCTCTCAACTTGCATCCCTACGACCTCACTGTGGACTCTCTGGATGTGCACGCTGTATGTTTCTCTTTGGAAAAAGCATAGAGGAACTGTGACTGTGAAAAGGGGCTGATTGTTAAATGTTCATACTGTATCTATTGGAAGTTTTTATGTCACTCACTACATGCAAACCTAAAGGATTTGTGCATGCACTGTTGGACTTATCTCGATCCAAATCAACGTTTCTTGTTTTTTTTTTTCTTCTGAAGGGCAGACAAACCTTCCAGCGCTTCGACAAGTTCAACGCCAAGTACAACCCTGTGGGAGCCAGCGAGCTGCGTGATCTCTACCTGAAGACAGAAAACCACATCAATGGAGAATACTTTGCCACAATCATCAAGGTCAGTTTCTTCAAACATCATCTCTGAGAAGGTTGGAAAGCGTTCTACTAGAAAACAAAATACAAATTGAAATCACCTGTTACAAATCATGAGCTTATTTTGTCAAACTTGAAATAGATTTTACACTTCGCTTGCCTTTGTGCACAGTTTCGTTCCACCACATGTACCGCATGTGGTGCGTATGATAAATAAAGAAACTTTGACTTTGTTAACACCAGGAAGTAGCCAGTGACCTGGAGGACGCCAAATATCAGTATGCTGAACCTCGTCTGTCTATCTACGGATGTAACCCAAACGAGTGGTCCAAACTCTCAGGCTGGTTCGTCAAACACAGAGTCTTCTCCCCCAACCTCAAATGGATGATTCAAGTTCCCAGGATCTAGTAGGTTTTATCAGTCACTCTACTTTCAGATTGTTCAGATTGACATAAAACCTTTTGTCCAGATGTGGATAAATTAAAGCTTTTGTTTTAGTCACACAATCACACAAACTAACCGATATTTTGAGAGTTCAACGTCTGCAGGACCCTAGAGCATATGTCAAACTCAAGGCCCGGGGACCTAATGTGGCATCTTATCTGGCCCCCGAGATGATATTTTAAACGAAAAATACTTTTATCACGTTAACTTTTTCATTAATCTTTGATTATGATGTCAAAAGTGCAATAGAGAAACTCTTGTTGAGGAATCTGCACCCAAGAAAAGATGTTGGGTATCTAACTTGAGTTCATGTAGGTTTTGAAACCGGCCCTTAGTTTTAAAAAAGGTTTTAATTTTGGCCCCTTTTGTAAGAGGGTTTGACACCCCTGCTCTGGAGCGATGGCCGAAGCTTCGAGTTAAATGAATTTGTTTTGTATCTCTTCTATCTTAGTGACATCTTCAGAGGCAGGAACTTTGTGCCCCACTTTGGGAAGATGTTAGAAAACATTTTCCTCCCCGTGTTCCAGGCCACAATCGACCCGCAGTCCCACCCAGAGCTCAGCATCTTCCTCAAACACGTGAGTCATGGACGAACCGCAACTAAAATGTTGAGTTTGACCTCGGGCAAAAAGTGTTTCCAAACATCTGCCTTAAAGAAACTGGTCCAGATGACATGATTGAACCTTTTTTGTTGTTATCTACCTGGATGATTGAGCTTACAAACCTTTTTTCTGGCCTTGGTGTCCTTAGGCTGTTTCTGTGAGTAGCAAGTCGACCATCTGGACTAAAACATTTGATTGTTATACAAGAGGATTGATTGTTTTGGGCGGATGGGTCCTTTTGCATGTGTTAAAAGCCTGCTTCTGAGATTCTAACAGGAGGTTGGCTTGAAACACAGCAGTGAAGGCTACTTATGGGACAGATCTGGTTGGCAGGCCACAGACTGATGAAGTCTTCTGGATGGAAGATGAAACGTTTCTCCCTTAAATAAACTGGTCCAGATGACATGATTTAACCTCTTTTGTTGTTTCCAAACATGTGCATGAGTTGGAAAATGTCAACACTGAGCGCATTAAACTAACCCAGGGCTCGGTTTGAGCCCAACAGAACATATTTATGATAAATAAGTTGCAGGAAGAAGCAACATGTTTGTTGTAAAATGGTTGGGGCTTTTTTGTTTTTTTGTTTGTTTGTAGGTGACAGGCTTCGACAGTGTGGACGATGAGTCCAAACACAGCGGTCACATGTTCTCCACCAAGAGTCCTAAACCAGAGGAGTGGGACATCAGCAAGAACCCGTCCTACACCTACTACATCTATTACATGTACGCCAACATCGCTGTCCTCAACCAGCTGCGCAGGTAAGAAGCTTCAACCTCATTAAGACACACCTCATTTTATTGACATGTAGCGGTTAGCTTGTAAATCCACACTATTGTTTCTGTGTAATCGAACTACTTTAGCATACTTTGTGCCGTTTTAGCTTTCATATATCAAAATATTCAACTCATTCAGGAGAGATGCGCTGACTTTTTTGTGCATTTTTTTACATTTATATATTTTTTTTAATATTTAACTTTATTTATCAATAACTTCCTCATAGAAACACACAGATTTTTGTACATTAAAAAAAATTTTAATTTATGATTATTAAATTATATATATTATTATATTATTTTTAACTAGCTATTTTAAACTTTTGTTTGGTACTTTTAGGTTTTAGCCACACTTTAGCTACTTTTAGTTAGATGCCATTTAGCTACTTTTGGCCTAAAGCTAACCCTTTCCTACTTTTAGTTTTTAGCTAGTATTTTGCTACTTAATTTATTTAGTCTTTGCGAGTCTTTTGCTATATTTACCTTTTAGCTTACGTTTTCATTCTTTTGATTTGAACTTTTTGCTTCTTGGCTTTTAGCTAGTATTTTGCTTTTGTTTTTAGTTTATATTTTACATTTAGCTTTTAGCTGACCTTTTGTCACATTTAACCTTTAGCTATCGTTTTGTTACTTTTGGTTTTTGCAAGTCTTTTGCTACTTTTAGCTTGTAGTTATTTTGGCTACTTGTACATTTTAACTAACTTTCTGCTGCTTTTAGCTCGAGTTTTTTATATTTAGACTTTGGCTAGACTATTGCTACATTTAGCCAATGTTTTGCTGCTTTTGACTTTTAGCAAGTGTTAGCTTCTTGTAGTTTTTATTTGGCATTTTACGTTTTTTTTTTGCTTTAAGCTTGTGTTCTGCTTCTTTCAGCTGTATATCAGTTTCAGCTTCTTGTTCAGCTCTCAGCTTTCATGCTGCACTTTTACAGAAAGTTCATTTTTTCCCTAAAATGCGTCCCTTTGTAGAAACTTAAAGCTGCATCTGTGTTGTGTTGCAGGCAGAGGGGGATGAACACGTTCATGTTCAGGCCTCACTGCGGGGAGGCCGGGGCCATCACCCACCTGCTGGCTGCCTTCATGACTGCTGACAACATCTCTCACGGCCTTAATCTCAAGAAGGTCAGCTGGGATGCAACGTTTTATATATAAAAATAAAAAAACCTCAGCTGTCAGAACTCCGTAAAGGAGCTATAAATTAAACTACAAACATCCGGTTTAAAGACGCCATAACAGATGAAAAATCATTTGTATGATTGAACAATGCTGCCCTGGTTGTTGCTCTTCATGACACAATCTCTTATTTATCTGGGAGCACCAAAAGTTGTGCTTTCTGATCGTGTTGCGTTTTTGCACTTTTGGATTTAGGCCACAAGAACCACCGGAGAGCTCATGTAAATCTTTTAAGGTCCAGTTGTTCACACCAATAAGACACAGGGCTATTCAACTAAACTGCTCCGGGGGCCACAGTTTCTGAAAGCCAACAGCTCGGGGGGCTGGACATCCAGCGATTAAAATCATTATGTAAATAAACCAACGTTTACAATGACCTGTTACATTTTAAATTTGTTTATTTTACTGCACTGAATCATAAATGCAATAAACAGAACCCAAAACCCAAACCCAGACACCACCCCCAAAACCACCACCACCACAAACAACAACAACAACAACAATAAAATAAAATAATGAAGTGGGCCAGATTGTAGTCACCTGCAGGCCGGAAATGGCCCACGGGCTCACAGTTGACTAGCCCTGCACTAGGCATTAAGTTGGGGATGCACCAATGAGTGACTGCTATTCTGAATATTACCTAAACTTTTTGTACTGCTTTCAAACAACTCATTTTATAAACTTTTATGAGAATACTGCAACAAATAAAATAAAATAAAAAGATTAAAATAAAGAAAAAAGAAAAACAAAAGAAAAAAAGGAAGTTTGTTATTCTTAGGGGAATAACGTACAGACACAGTTCTGATAATGACTCCATCCATATGAATAAATAAAGCATTGTTTATTTACTTTTACAATTTTTTTCGTTCAATTTAACAATACGTTGAGATAAATTGATCATTGCGTTTTGACAAACGTTTCCTGATCTAATGAACTCGTCGTATATCCCCATCAATCTTTTCCACCCAGGGTCCTGTGCTGCAGTACTTGTACTTCTTGACCCAGATCCCAATCGCCATGTCTCCTCTCAGCAACAACAGCCTTTTTCTTGAATATGCCAAGAACCCGCTGCTGGAGTTCCACCAGAAAGGCTTGATGGTGTCTCTGTCCACTGACGACCCCATGCAGTTCCACTACACCAAGGTCTCATCGTAGACACTTACAAAGCCTCTCATAAACAGCAGAAATATAAACGTCTGCAGAATGAAAGGATTTAAATGTCCACGTATCTTCATGCTTTCTGGCCTTTGCATTCACAGGAACCACTGATGGAGGAGTACGCCATCGCAGCTCAGGTCTTCAAGCTGAGTACTTGCGACATGTGTGAGATTGGCAGGAACAGCGTGCTGCAGAGTGCCTTGTCTCATGAGGTAACCACCGGTTTACGTTATCATGTTGCCACATTTAAAGAATACTGTGCGTCCACATGGCACCAACACGCCAACGGTTACCCTTCCTCATACTCTGCCTTTGGTTTTGCTCCAGGAGAAGATCCACTTCCTGGGTTCAGATTACCTCAAGGAGGGTCCGGAGGGCAATGACATCCGTAAAACCAACGTGGCTCAGATCCGAATGGCGTATCGCTTTGAGACGCTGTGCTACGAGCTCAACCTCATCAAGGAGGGCTTGAAGGCCGAGTAAACACTTTTGAAGGCTTAAAAAGGCTCCTGCATTCGTTTTTCACAGTAGCTCTTGGAAATCTTAAAGAAAAAGACCTTCTAATGCACCGGTGCTCTTTTCTCTGGAGGAAGAAAAGTTTTTGCTGCGTGGTTTCACTGTGAACCACGTAAACATCGTCTTCAGTTGACTCCAGTTGGATTAACACCGTGTAGAAGAATGAATAAAAACAAATATAAAGACAAACAAGTATCTTTTTTCTGTCCTTGTTATTTTATTTTACTTTTTTTTTTTTTGGTGGTGGTGGGGTCAAATTGCAATATAAGATACAACTAAATTAGATTAAATCAATTATTCAAAGTGAGGTTGTTTTGCTTTGTTTTAATGGAATTGTGTAATTTAAAGGACTTTAATTCCTTTCAAACTGACTTATTTAGTTTTTGATGCTCAGTTTTAAGAGAAACTTTGTGGAAACAAGCATAGATTTAAGATATTATATTATAAGATATTACTTAATTGAAATTATTTAAATTCAAATATCTTTAAAAAGGGGTCCATTCACAAAACTTATGTCATATCTTATTTAAAAATCAGTTTTTTTAAGTTCCAGGTTTCAAGAACAAATCACCCCAGTGTAAAGAGTTTTAGATCTTTATCTGTAAAATTGATTTTTAGCCATTTTTTTGGTGTGTTTTTAGGATCAGATGGTTGTGGCAGCAATCTTAACTCAGGTTGACTCCAAAAGTTAATCAGCTGTAGATGCACATCCAATGATCATTTCCTGCAAGTTTGATTAAAATTTCTCCAGTGGTTAATGAGATATTTTGCTAACAGACAAGTAAAGACACCCACAGACAGACATCTTCGCATTTGGTGGTGAGCGATGACAACACAGTATAATCTTAGTCGGCACCAAATAAATTTGATTTTGGAGAACATGGTTGCGAAGCTGCAGGCTACGTCCTCAAAGTTCCGAGGGCACCTGAAGGCAGCATTGTTTATTCGTGGTTGACAGCTGCAGGGGTTGATGCGGTGACGTCTTCCCTCTTGGAGGATTCGAGGATTCAACCAAACTTTCTCACAGTCCAAAACTCTGTCAAGTTTACCGGAAACACGCAGAGTGCAAACAGGAAGTGGCCGAAATAATGCAATGGAGTCATGCGCACGTGTTTAGGCTTCACTAAAAAGCTGTGAATGTCCTTAAAAGTTAAACATTAAAATGATTTTGTAGTAGACAAGCTATAACTTAACATATTTTTTAATAAGAGTGACACTGATGTTTGTAAGCTAAAACAGACTGATGGCCCCCCTTTTGCATGTGAACAGCTAGTTAGAAAAAAAATAAAATAAAAGGTTGATAGTTCTGGCTGTCAGCAGCAAACTGGTTGGTCCACTAAGAAGCTACTATATTTATAAGACTGAGTTTCTTAAAGGGTTTTAGACTGAAGACTTCTTTTCAACAAAGAAGAATCCGTACAGATGACCTGACTTGTTAGAACAATTTTAGCTAACCTTTTGCTATTTCACTTTTTGTTACTATCTTGCTTCTTTTAGAATGTAAGTACTGTTTTGTTTTATTAGCTAATAGTTAGTCTTATATTACTTTTAGCTAGCCTATTGCTGCATTTTAACGTGCAGCTACCTTTCTGCTGCCTTACGCGTCCCTTCAAAAGCATTTTGGTCATACCCGTTTTATTTTGAAATATTTAACCGGAAGTTACGTATTCCCCTAGTAGCTTAACTGCAATATTCCAGACGGAGGGCGAGGAGCGATTTGCTTTATCTACTTTTTCCTGTTCTGTCGCCGCTTCTTTTAAAAGCTGTTGTTTTATAAATGTATTTGAGCAAAAACCGCACTTTATTTCCTCTCTAAACCGCCGTTTTCTGGGAGGAAAAAGTTTCCCGTAACTTGTAGTTTCTCGTTTTCCTCCACGCGAGCGTTAGCTTGTCGGACCTCCTCAGCGGCGAGACCAAATAATGGATTTTATTTGGGTTTGTCATTTTGTCGAAAGGAAAACACGGAACGGGCATGAATTGTGCTGGTCTTTGTGAGCCATACTGGTACGTAACAAAACTGTGGTGAGAGCAGCATATGCTTGTGTTATTTTGTTGTTGTATATGACTTGTTCAACGTTAGAGAGAGTGTTCATTTTAATAAACAATGTAAAGTAGCTAGCTAATGCTCGTAAAATGTGGTTTCCACCTACATTGCTCCTTTTTGGGGAATAAAAACCCTTTTGTCACAATTTCATTGAAATACCAAACTGTTATTAACTTTGTTAACATTTACCCATCACAATAAGCTTCTTTCAATATATGTCTTTTGTTGCTTTTTAAAAAAATTATTAAATTAAGTCATTTTTGTGCAGGTGGTATCTTTGAAACTGTTAATGTCACAGTTGTCCAAAATAATAATTAAACATTGGAAAATGTCAAATTTAAGATTTTTTTTTTAATGATGTCCTGCAATTTCATCATAAATTTTGTAATTATTTAAGCTAATAACGTGTCTACATTTTGATGTGTGAATTGTTGAAACTGTTGCCAGTGGCGCTTACGATCACCATGGCAACCACAGCTGGTTTCTCTCGCTCCCTCACTGCCAAATGAATGAGATGCAGGCTGAAAAGGAAGCCTCAAACAAACGGGCTTTGTGCGAAAACTAATAGTTAGATTGTAAAAAAAATCTTGGCATCAGAAGTATTAGTAAGTTTTAACAGAAAATAACAATAACCCTTATTGGTTCTGCTTCTATTTGTGTATTTTTTTAAAGACATTTGATTCAAGTAATGCAGCTGTCAGGGTAAACAGATATTTAGCAGAGTCCTCAATGTGAATTAGTAGCCGCCCGGGTGGGTGCTGTTAGATCACTCGTTTCACAACACTTTATCATCGCTCATCCTTTCATTGTGGCTTGTAGCAAACCAGCAGTTTGCTTTTATTACAGCATTAACTGTCACTTTTGATGATAAGCCTCAGTCTTACAATGTCTCACCTGCAACATGTCCTGTCATGCTGTGCATCGTTGTGTGGGTGTGTTTTGGTGGTTTCAAAGGTACAATTATGTTTAATTTAGTTGCCAAATGATGTATGGTTTCTGCTTTTATAAGAATTTATAAGAGAACAAAACTAGCCATGACGGCTAACAAATTTATATAACTTGATATACACATATATACTGTCTCGGCTCTTTTCTAATTGCGGACAATAACTTTTGATTTTGACAGTTTCCCCACAGAAAAAACAGGGTTGCCAGTTGTTTGCCAATTCATCTGTAACCACTCTGTGTCTATATTTCTGGATTTATTGCATGTCAAGTTGTGTTTACCATCAGTTTGAGCGTAGATGATCTAAACATAGTTTACGACTGTGCACAAATCTTCCTGCACCGTAATTATTGGACAAGTTGCTGATCCCTTTTTCCTGCAGCTCAGGAAATGCAACTCATGCCTTCCTGTGCAATGTGCCGCACACAGACAAACGATACAAGTGGGTCAGTTTGGGAGCTGCGTTGTCATCCCTGTGTCTGGCAACGACGGAGTGACATTCCAGTCGTAGGCATACATTCAATTTGGGTCAAACTAAACAAAACCCCCACTTTAAAGAGGGACTGTCTCCAGTTAAATCTGTTTCTCGACCCTCAGCTCTGCAGGAATGCAGCTCATAGAGGTGTTGTGATCATAAGCTGTGGAAATTTACTATCTCTCTCCCCTTCTCTTGATACTCTCAGCCTCCTAACATGCAACGTGTCCTAATGATTTTGATCCAGACGAGAGGAGCCGCTGTGCGAGGAGCTTGTAGCAGTTCTGTTGATGTTGACTTAAGGAAAAAGAGTCCTAGTGGATCCAGTATAACACTGTATTACTTGTCGGATAGCATTCAGTCAGGTGTATTATATATTTCCTATGTTTCAGCTATATATTGCAAATAGAAATATAATCTTATTGTGTGAATGCTGACTCAGCTTTCACACATCTATTTGTTTTCCTGTTGTTAAAAATTTCAGTGCATTTTTTTTTTTTTTTTTGGAATCTAACTACTTCTGCATGCTCTGTACTATTTTAGTCAAAACATCCAGCTCATTCACAGCCACAGGATAGATCTGACTCTGGCTCTGACTTTTTTGTTTCTGTGATTCTTAAACTTTTCAAATTAACTTTATTTAGAAATTATATATATATATTAAAAAAAAAAGAAGTTAAATCATGTCATCTGGACAGTATCTTTTTGGAAGAAGCGTTTCGTCTTTCATCTGAAAGACTTCATCATTCTGAGGCCTGCCACCAAGATCTGTCTGATAAATAGCACCTTATTGGTGGCAGGCCTCAGACTGACAAAGTCTTTCGGATGAAAGATGAAACGTTCCTTCCAAAATTAAACTGGATCCAGATAACATGATTTAACCTTTTTTGTGATTTATTTACCTGGATGATTGAGCTTACAGACCTTTTTTTTTAATTTAGAAATATTTCCTATAGAAATACTATGTCCAAATGACTGTAATTCCTTTCAAATCTTTGTTCCCTTTGAAAAATGCTCCAGTAAACTTTTTATGTTTTTGTTTTCTTATGGTACTTTCATCTTTTAGCTAGTTTGTTGCACTTTTTAGCTTTAAGCTCCTGTTTTGCTACTTTTAACTTTTAGCTACCATCTTTTAGCTATTATTTAGCCCTTTGCCACTTTTAGTTGCTAGCTACTTTTTGCTCTTTAGCTTGCCTTTTGCAAACATTTATATTTAGCTTTTAGCAAGCATTTTGTTATTTTAGATTTTTTTTTTCAATTTTTTTGAACTTCTTTTAGTTAACTAACTTTCAGCTTTTGTTTAGCAAATTTCATTAGTCAGTCAGCACTTTTTAAATGTAGTTTGATATTTTGTATTGTGTTTGAGAAATTGCCAAAGTCTTATATTTTATCTTTAACTTTGAAGTAAAGTTTGTGTAAAGTAGCTTCATCAAAATGTATCACTTACTGTTTGTCTTGTGATCCTTTATTTTTTGTAGCTTTTAATTAAATTCAACTTACCTGAAATATATTTATATTGAGCCCAATCACAACGAAAGCCACCTCAAGGCACTGAGCAAAAATATTAACATTCATTATTTAATGTCATTTAGATTAAATTTAGTATTAAGATACAAATAACTTATGTACCTTCCTTAAATGATCTAAGGAAGCAAGCAGTTTCTGTCGAATATTTACTTTGTTGACAGTAGGAAGAAGCAACCCTTTACTAAGAAGAAACCTCCAGCAAAACCGGGCTCAGAGTAGGCAGCCATCTGTCTCGACCCGCCTGGGTTAGAGAGGACAGGAGACTCACACAAGCTCAGAATGACTGGTCCAGGTGCTGTTTCTATGGCCCATGTGTTGTTTCTATGGTCCAGGTGTTGTTTCTAT